GGTCATCATATATGGTTTGCTGATCACTGTAAAATGATAGGATTAGAAAAAAAACTGCAGTTCAATTATATAACATTTTAGTGCAATCCCAAAACATCCCTTACTATTTCAAAAATTCTAGGCGCGTTGTGTTCATTAAGTTAAATTGTGCATGAATTTCTGCCCAGCGAACTGTGAAACATTTTACTTATAGATGTTGATGGGAAGCAACCTGTAAACATAGGTTTTCCCGATGAATTCATAAAAGGCCCTTCAAATTCGGCTGCGCAAGGGAATATCATATTTATGGTAATTAAAAGGGGTATGAGGAACAGGGAATGAAAGGGCACAAACGCATAGGGTATTTTCGGTGAATAATCATTATTTCATAAGGCAAAGGAAAATACATGGATATTGACACTGATTCTACCTATGGATACGATCTCCTCTTTTGGCATCGAATAAAGTATGTTTGTGTATGGCGACACCACGCAACGGGCTATTGATGGGTTATTCGCCCAACTGATCCCTCTCCTATTTCGAGCAGTTTCTCTGTCTGACTTTGCTGCAAGTTTTGTTCTGGTCTTCATTGTCCAAGTTCCACCTGTGTTTCAGGAAAGTACACCTCACGTTTGACAGCTGCTTTGAAAGGAGAAAAAGTATCATTTGAAACGTGACTTTCCCCTAGCTGCTGAAGGATGAGCCGCTCCTCTATCATATCAGGAAGGTCACAGTTGCCTTCAGCGTACTTGCCTTCGCTGTGAAAGAGGTCGTCGCGATGAGAGCCTCCATTCGCGAAACAAAGTTGCTGGCTATTCCGAATGTGACATCTATCGAAGGGTGGAATCCGAAGTCGTCCAGGAAAGAGGGAAGGTCCAGGCCGTCGATGTGCTTTCCCGGTCCTTTTCTGGCATCCCTGAAAGGTGGCGTCCGGCAGATAGTGATCTTGGGCGCAGGGAAGCATAATTTGTGCTTTATTGACGTTCACGAGTTGAATATTGCTGGTAGAGCTGGAGGACGCCTTTAAAGAGATAAAATATGCAAAAGGGAGACGAGAACTTCTACTTGAAAGCACCTCCTTTTGATTGCGATGGACCCATCCGGTCGCTCCTGCCAAAGTGCATTGACGTCATGGTATTATTCCACTGGCATCCTTTTTGGAGAAATCAATGTATGAATTTTTTTTCATTTTCTCCTAAAACCGGAGAATATAACACCACTTAAAAAACAACTGACAAACCATTATACAGATAGAATATACCTAGGTAGATAATATATGGATGAGAGATGGCCAGGCATTTAATTCACACAACCCATCGCTGAAAAAGAGGTATGTTTCGGCGCAAAGGGAAATTTTCATGAGTTTTATTTTTCCCGAATTATATTGGATGGACAATGGGATGGACCCCATTTTAAAAAAATCTGTGAGGCGGCTGGAATGCATCAACTTGGGGAAAGTTCGATGTGAGTGCATGTAAGTTGTTCATTCCACTGAAACGCATTACATCCAGAAAAAATGGAACTTCTCTGCCAGTGGAATCTCAACATGAAGTGTGTGATTAAACTTCATAGTGACCTCTTACTAGCTGAAAGTAAAAAAAAAAGTTTACCTAGTAGGAAAGTAGTAATTATTACATTTTACTTTTGTGAGATGAGATAGGTCGTTCCAATATTGGTATCATGGCCATGTATACCATTTGAAGCGCAAAACTTTTTTTCAAATTCAAAAAGAATAATTCAGTTGGGCACGTGATCCACCGGTAGATAAGAACGAGACCCCATCATTTTCGATTAATAAAAATGAGACTATTAATCACCAGAGTGAGAACGATACTTTCTGCTACCGACAGAAGTTACAACTCTAATCCCTCATTTGGAGGGTTTTTGCCACTGTGCGATCTGTCGTCTCTTCGCACGCCGGTGGAAGATCGTAGCACATCAATGATATGATTGCCCCATTTGGGACGTTTCTGATGGTTGTAGCAGTCGTGGATACGATGGATACATGCGATGCAAGTGGTGGTGACTAGTCAGCATCATAGATGGTGGGAGGTCACGTTCAGTCTCTGACGCAGATGATCGGAAGTTATGGCAAGCCTGGCACTGTAAGTGCCTGATGGATTCAACTTTGAAGACTTGCTTTTCGTTTTCTGTTGCAAGCGACTGCTGCATTGAAGTGAGATTTCGAATATATTTTGTGGAGTGACATGATTCCGTATTTTTTTGGTGAACAGGAATTTATAAATGAGAAATACTGTACTTGGAAAACATGGAATGAAGGCAAAATCCGTTTACGGGATTTGCATATTATTCTCCTCAGCGCGATTTGACAAATTATGTGTTTTCTATATTTAACATCTGGCGATGGTGACTTCTTAAAATTGGACATTTTTCTATTTTGATGTTTCAAAATTCGGCCAAATCTTCCAGAGTTATGAGACGCGAGAGACAATAGGACACCATAAGAAGCATTATCAATGTCTTAAAAGAGAAACAGAGTTTTTGGACGATCTTGATCGAAGTTGGCGCTCAAGCTTATACAGTACTTGTGTACCAAGATGTCGATTGGAGTGTCAAGGTTGTGAGATAAACTTTCATGATGAAAACTTTCTCAACTTGCTATTTCAATAGGTAATATGAGGTGAAGCTAATCGTCCGAGATATTCAAATATAAGGTTTTTACTATTAATAATATGTGAATAATGCGTAGAAAAAATCAGCGAAACTTCCTTGTCGTGAGGCAGTTCCGAAAAAAAAACTTTTTTTTTGTATTTTTTTTGGTCTTGTCAATTGGAAAGGATATATACTCATGCACAGAAAGAGTTTTGTAAAAATTATTTATTCGTGCATAATTATAACTTTGCTATTGCATTTGATCAATTTTGCCAAGCCCTGTTTAAGACAATGTATCAAGAGCATCGCATTAGCTTATTATCTCACACCCCCCATACTGGAAGTCGCAACACACGCTTTCTTCTATTCTCCCTGTTCCAGTCGGGTAATATACTGGGTCAAATTTTTCCGCATTTGAGATTAAAGAAATTTCTCACATCAGAAATACCGTGCAGGAGTCGATGAACACCAAGAAGAATGTCATTATCCCAATTGAAATAAGGAATTTCCGGTGGGCTCCATCGTTATTTAGGTCTATATATCAATACGATATTACGAAGGAAACCAAGGGTGATGCTCCAAAAACCTGCAACCAAGTACCAGCTCACTTGCATTTGCACTGAACACATTGCGACGTTCAGATATCAGCATTCAAACTGACGATCAAGCGTAGATTCAGGGTTCAAGGTTTGGTGAGACCGTCAAAAGGTGTAGCCGCCAATCATGACGACCTGGGTCGAGGTCGAAAGTTCAGATACTCTTAAGATGAGCCTTCTCCTCTGGAAGATTGCTTTTTCTATAACTCATGGCATAGCTACTGCCTGGACGCATGGCGCTACGATATCCTCTCCATTGGTTTTTCCATAAAAGAAACAAGACTATTCTTAAAGCTAGTCACAGTAGAGGCAACCACATCGTCGTCATTTAGCGCATTCCTCGCGTTCACTACCTTAAAAGTAAAGTTCTGTCGCAGCATTCATATAACCTGGGGTTTATGCAACTTAAATTGGTTGTCTCTCGTTCTGCAGTTAGCATAAAACTGATGAAACCGACCACGTTCTACGTTATAGATTCCATCAATAATATTAAATGCCTGGATAAGATCCCCCATCGCTAACCTTCCCTCCAGTGGGTACAATCTGAACGCTTCTAAACGCTTCTAGTCCCCGAACTTTCTTGATCGTTTTAGCAGCTCGCTTTTGGACCCTCTCTAGCGCCGTTAGTTCACCTTCGTTTGTGTCACCAGAGTCCTGACCATTCCCTTATCTGCAAAACGGATACGAAATGGATAACCTTCCGGTTATTCTTTTCGCTCCGGTCCGATCTCCCGGCTATCTTGTGGTGGAGGGAACGCCTTGTTCGCGTTTATTCTCCGCAGTCAATTGGACATAGACATCTCATAGACCATTCCATTGACACCCACGTCTACTGCGTGGGTAGTAAAATGAGATACTAAGTAGAATTGCTATATTGCAGGATGTAGGTATTTATTTCGCAGATAGTAGCATCAATTGCGTGTGTCAAGGCATCAAAGTCTCTTCTGCACCGAGGAAAAACTCTTGGTGCCGCTGATATCACGAAAGCGAACTTCATTCACTTGAAATTGATTTCCTCAAATAGGGATTGCAGGCTGTGAAGTGCTAGGCGGCTTTGTGCCATGATGCAATTGCAATTCTTAGCGAAACTGAGCGCACATATGCAATACGTAGGCGCAAGATAAATCTGCATATCACAGAAACAGAATTCTTACTCGGCCATTTCTTGCCTACCTCTTGCTACTCTTGGCCTCCACAACGTTCACAACGCTCAGCCTCTTCGAATAACAACTGCCTGCACATGCCGACAATTTGATGTTTTCTCATCATTTGTCTACAGGTGACAATTTTTTTACCTCAATAATAATCATTTATCTCAGTCGCCGCTTCCCTGTGATTTTCAAGCAATCTTCCTAACTCGAACGTCCGACTGCCAAGTCGTATCCGGGCATAACGATCCTTTTTTACTTCATTCGAATCCCTTTGGCATCCTATGATCACGTGACGGAGCCGTGCATCTCGTGATTCACTCGTGTGACCTCTTTAATGGCTATTGTGAACTGTAGGAGACACGGGCTTTTTTCGGCTTATCGTATGCCATAGAGATACGTGTAACACATGTCATGATCTTACTGATTTGAGGAACCTTCCGAACGTTGTCCTTGGAGCAAGCGCTGCTCCCCTTCCCAAGGCGTGAATACGACATTAATACTGAGACAGCGCTACCTCCTGCTGGTTGAAGGAACACGCCAGAGGAAGCTTCTTAGTGGCTTATTTGTTATTCGATCGCGAACACCTCCTTCGTACGATAGCAGCAGATCGGAGTGCGTCCCCGATGCGGCCAGCATATCTGCAGATCTTTTCATCGGTTCTTGTCTCGTTGGAATAGGGATGTTTGCAACGGAAGTGGCGGTAGTGACTGGGCATCCTCGGACGACGCCAGTAGAAAACGTTCAGTCCTTGCGGGTGTGTGATGCAGGAGACTCCTCTGCCTTCTCTAGCGCGGTTGGTGCGAGATAGATTCAACTGCGAAGATCTGGTCTCTCCCATCGGCTCCTTGTGGCCTGCCGGCCGTCTGCGGTCTTGACTCTGACGGAGACTCGGCATTCAAGACGAACTCCTGAAATGTGGAATGTACGATTTCATTTTGGAGCCATTTTTCTCTTCATCATTTGATGAACATCTTCCCAGTTATTCTCGTAACATAACCTCGAGTGGTTGCCGGTAAAAGGGCAATGAAATATCAAAGAAGGGAGTCGCTTAATTTTGTGCTAAACCTGCAAATGAGAGAGTGTGTCTCTACGTATCCCTACGTATCTTCACTTTGGCCAGGAATCCACAACCAAATGATAATCAATATTTCCTGGGCTTTAAGTCCAAAGAAGTTGCAGACCTAAGGAGAACTACAGGTAATTAGGGGCATCTTGTTTTGAAATTGCATGGTATCGTTCTCACTGGCTTTCGTGATGGAACAGGATGAACTTATTTTTAAATGTCGACTTCTTATTTCCTGGATTTGAACCCAAGATGAATGCCGAGAGCATGGTTAAACCTCAAATACAGCTCCGCTAACTATTGTCAGGAATGTGGGAAATATTTCTCGAGAAAGAAAAAAAAGAAACGGGAGCCAATACAAAAAGGTTGATAGGTATTCCTTTTAAAAATGAATCATTCGCAGGATCGGAGAATGTCACCATCATTTCATTGAAGCATGAAGGATTTAGGATAGTGAGCGCGATACCTTCTGCAAGCAGCAGGACATACAACCTTAATCCCGGCACGTGGAGATTTTTGTCTCTCCTCGATGAGTGGCCTCTTCTTACGTCGGTGGAAGATCGGATTGCGTAATCGATACGACTACACTATTTGAAGAAGTTTGAGATGATTGCAGGGGAGGTGGGGCGATGACCGCGTGCGATGAGAGTGGCTGCGTCTGGGTGTCCTCGTACGAGGGTGGGAGGTCGGGATCGGGTCTGGATGCAGGTGGACGATCGGTGAAGAGCATCCGCCTGTCCCGGCGGAGATTGTGCGAGGCGGATTCCACGCTGATGACCCGATCGTGTTGTGCTGCTGGCGACCGCCGCGCGGCCTCGGATCCAGGTTCTGACGGAGACTCCTCTTGACGCTGTGGAAAAATTCATCATGAATCATATGATTCATGAATCATGAAATATTTCGCGAGAGGTTGGCAACATTTCTGCAGGTTTTCGATCTTGAAATGAAATGCGTCGTAAGTCGCACATATAGATGCCTCCTACCCTTCTTTTTCAGCAGGAAATTATTTTTTAATAAGCAGAAACAAGATTAACCGAACCTGTCCCTTAATAGATGAACACCACACAATAGATGAATAGATGAGCACCATGACGAATAGCATGCTCCCAATGAAAACGAAGTAGATCCCGAAGTTTCCGAAGTTCCTCAAGTCGATGCAAAACATCATCACCAAACCGATGATGATGAAACAAGCAGCAACCGCAAACCAGCTCACTTGCATGCGCACAGAACAAATCCTAGCGTTCAATCTTGTGAGATTCACCAGAGCCATCGCTCACCCTCGTATACCCACCCGTCGGTCGTGGAGGGGTTTCATTCCGAGCTCAATGTATGTAGCGATCGCGAAACTGACTCGTTCGTGAAGGGATTCCGGTCGTCGTTCCGTTTATTGCAAGTGCGATACATGGAAGATACAACGCAGAATCGCCTTATCGCATGGGGCATGCATTTCCTACAGAGATAGCAGCCTCCGAGGCGGGGATCCGAGGCGGAGAAAGCGTGCCGCGAGTCCAAAGGGCTGAGGGCAGATCTCTCGTAAGCCTGACGTTTCCGAAAGAAAGTGGGCGTTAATGATATGAAGGAACAGAAACCCACAGGCGGTTATTTAACCTTTCGTCAAAAGGGGATGGATGAAACTTCAACCCTTCGGCCTGTGGTAGAACTAACGAAAAAGAAAAGAAACTGCAACCGCTAGAATCCAAAAATATTCCTTCGAAATTCACCCGGTCGCAGAGGAGCTATTAACTCAGAGAAACTTTTGCTCCAATGATCAACGGTCAACGATTAATTATCAATAATCGAGTCAAAGACCGAATGTATATAACAGCTTTCGACCAGGTCAGAAAGAAGATGGCGCGGAGGCCTCTCTCTTCGTCCGCTTCTTTTCCCTTTCGTCTTCTGGTCACTTTATTCCATTCGGAACTCGGTGGTGCATTTCCACAATGCACCACCGGACCTCGGTGGTGCATTGTGTTCACGGGATGGAAGCGTGATACATTTGTCCTGAATTTCAGGAACCCGGATTATTAATGTTATCGCATGTACTCTCCATCGAGATAGCAATATCCGTTCCAAGTGCTTAAAGGAGGAAAAAAAAAAAATTCTCACACTTGGAATTCAAAGGATGCATAGAAATGGTCCCATTCCTGCCAGACCCTGGGAGTAAGCTGTCTTAGTCAGAACCACTTTGGAAAGAAAATGGCCTGACGGCTTCGAAATGAAGCTGCCTGACCATTATTGCGCCATTTCTCACATCTTGGCATCAGTTTCTCAATTGTATGACTAGTGATCCTCATCTGAAAACCGAGAAGTAACCGAGAATGGATACTGAAAATTTGCGCCATGAAAAAATTGACAAGGGTTGTGGAGGACTCCGAGAGGAGCATTTTCCTTGAGGTGCATGAAGAAAAAACATGGCGTGCAGGAAAAGTAAGCTCCACGCTGTAGAACCGATCCGGACGGATTCTGAGGCAATTTTTTGGAGAAACGGCGGGGCTGATCATGACGTGAGTGGGCGCTTTGCAAAAGCAGCTGATGAAGTGAGGACGTAACAATTGTCGCAGATGATGGCATAGGTGATGGGAATTTTTCGCTCACGAAAATGTGCTGCATGAGCTTTGGAATGCAGTACATATGACCTTAGACCTTCCGATTGCCCTTTAAACTAACGTGAAAAATCTCCAACTTATTTCCCTTTTCAGTCACGATCATGTTTCTCCGTCATTCCGCATGGATAACCGTACTCGTCCGCATGGGCAACTCGAGCAGCAACACCTGGGAATGAGTAATATAACCTTGAGAAAAACAAACCGATTCCGAAAGGATTCTGAGCCTAATAGACCGAAATGGAAGATAGAAAGATAGAAAAGCGAAAACTAGATGCCAAATATACTTATTATTAACGCTCGTTCTGCGCACGTCGCGAAGTCCATATTTTGTGACTTACCAGTTCCTAGCCATATTTCCATAAGTTACCATCGACTGGCAAATTGATATTCAAATGCTAATTATTTATATTCGTATTTGCATCTTCTCGTTTTAAAAGTAATTTGAATGCATTTTTGCCGTGAAATAAATTACTAGAAATTGATTTCAACCAGTTCTTCACAATTCCATGCACTTGCAAATCAAAGACATTTCCTTCGTTATGACGCATTTTAAAGACTGAGAAACAAAATCATTTAACTGCGACAGAAAATACAAGCACCCAATTCAATCGACAAGAGGAATTGCTCTGCAGTGGATCCATTCGGGCTGCGCGCACGGAGCGCAAGGACGAGCGAATGGAACCGGCATATCGCCGCTCGGGTTCCAGGGAAGATTTTGTTGGCTGGGACAATCAAACGCTTTCGTGATTGTTCTGCCAGCCTCATAGGAAATGCAGAAAAAAAAAGTTTTCGATGGTGCTGGTTTGGTTTCACGAGCAGAGCATTATTGTTATAGCGCGCCTTTTAATTGTTACAAAACATCTGTGATAATAAATCTCGAAAAAAAATACAGAATACTGGGACGAAGAAGGAAAGGAAAGAGTAATTCATTTTTAGCATGCGATATGGTAGATAAGAGTGTGGGTAGATTGTGTGGTAGATAAGAGGAACTCACCCTCGTTTCCAGCGAATAATACGACACTCTTGAATACCGGACAAATTGAGCAGGATACCTTCTCCTGCCGACAGAAGTTAAAACTCCAATCCCATCTAATGGAGGTTCTTGCCATTGTGCGATCAATAGCCTCTCCTTATATCGGTGGAACATCGGTTTGCATCCTCGGTACGAAGGTCCCGTTTGAATACGCTGATCTGATGGTTGTAGTGATCGTGGAATGAAGGATGTATGGGATGCCGGTGTTGGTGACTGGGCATCTTCATACGGTGATGGGGGGTCACGTTCTCTTCGTGGTGCAGATGTTAGGTCATATGAATGCCTGGTGGAGGGCTTGGTGGAGGACCTGGAAGGTTCATTCATCTGTGATGATCCACTCTTCGCATTCTGGTGCTGGCGACTGTTGCACCGTCTGGATTCCTGCGACTGGTAGGGGCATGAGGTCCCCGGTCTGAGATCTTGCAACTGGTAAAGGCGACTGTAGTACAATCTGCGTCCCTGGATCAGGTGGAGTCTTCCTCTGACACTGAAATGAAAATTCGTGGAAATGTTTTAGAAGATCGGCAACTTATTTGCTCGTCTGTGATCCTGAAGTGTGATTTCAAATGTTAACAGGAGAGGTACGATGCATTTTTTTCTAATGAACAGGAAGATATACATGAGTAACAGGCAATGAAGACGAAACCTAATTACAAATTTGGCATCCTACTCTCATCCTTGACGCGAGAAGGCAAGTTTTGCATAACCTTTTTTCCTGCTTAGGTAACTTTCAAATTAGCTTAGGTAACTTTCATTACATTTCGTTGAAAAATCCGACCAAACCTTCTGCAAAGTTAGGAGAGGCGACAGACTATCGTTGGGCCAAAATATGATTCGTTGCTAAAAGGCAATGATCAAGGAGTTATCAAGTGAGCATGATGTAAATTCGTACTCAAGCTCGAATTGGTGTACCATAGAGTTGATTGGAGTGTCAAGGTTGTGCATAGGAAATTCCCGGAGAAAACTTGCCAAACAATACAATTTAAGTAGTGGGTATAGCGTCATTGTAATAACCCGAAATGGCCACATTGAAGGTTTTTATAGCATGAGGTTACTAGGGAGTTGGTTTGCCAGAAGGGCGAACAAACTCGCCATGGACGAGCCTTCGGCGCTCTATGATAAAAAAAAAATGAATATGGGATTGAAAGCACCCCTTTTCGGAGCTATCCCCTAGTGATTTCTTTGTTTTTTAATCTTTGGTTTATGAGCTCAGCAATGCTCGCGCCTTCTGCGCTCGCACATGATAATTAAAGTGATTTCAAAAAGTATTATTATTTATTTTATTATATATTTCGTTTATTGCTTAGGTGATAAAGTGAGAAACAAAGTAAAATCTCCTAACACAAGGCGTCCGTATCTAATACTAGTATATATTGACGATCGTGACTGCGTGAGTGACTGACGCTAATTCTAAGCACGTTCTATAAATGACGGGGAGGGGGGGTTAATTTGGTTCGCGGGTAGTAGTTAGACGGCTTATTTCAGAAAATTTCCAATTTTGGAGGTGCATGCCCTTGGGGCACATTTTTTGGGTGGGGGTGGGAGATTGATTTTGTTAGGCTGGGCGTAACCAAGGGAAGGACACTTAGGCTTATGGCATTCTCATGAACGCACTGCCTTCAGCGAAAGCAGGAGGAACGCGAATGGCTGATACGTTCCAGACTCCAGAGGAAGTCCGACTTCTTAGGTACATGCCTTGGTGGCAGGTTTCGCAGAACTAGGCCTACCTTAGGTTAGTGCGACTCTCAAAAAGTTTATTCCTTCGAGGAAGCGGGATGGAAAACATATCGTTGTCGAATTGCATATTTCAAACCGGAGGCTAAACATATCCGGTAGCGTGCGCGATCTTGACCGCTACTTAGACCGAGCGACAATTGTGCGTTTGTGTGCGTGCGGAATCTCTACACTCTAAGAAAATTCCGAGCGTTTAGGGAGTAAAATGTGAGCACACTGTGAGCTTTTCAAATTTACTCTCTTATTGCTCACCAAATGCTCCCTCATCGCTCGTATTGAAGTGAACACCTGAAAGTTCTTCGCCTGGCCACTAGATGGAGGTAAGGGTCTCGCTTTTCGCACAGTACACAAAAGTTCCTTTCCCTCTCTCCCTGGAATCGTT